GTTGGCGTACTATGGATGCACCTACTCGCAAAGAAGGTTCTGTCCTTCAGTACAAGGTTTCAGAGTCATCCATGACCGACACCTGGGCTCTTTTGGTGTGCAGCCTGGATTAGCAGCTTGTCCCAATGAGCCTCTATCTAGAACTGACACCTGTCAATTCAGGTCCCACTGTGATCACCTTAGTGACCTGCCCTTTGAGTTACTCCAGTACATTGCGAGCTTCTTGGATGGCTTTAGCTTGTGCCAACTATCCATTGTGTCTCACACTATGAGGGATGTGTGTGCCAGTCTTCTTCAGTCCCGTGGCTTGGTGGTCCTGCTCTGGGAGAAGACAAAGCAAGTTGATGGAACCTCGTCTTGGCAGATACAAGACAAGGTAATCAGAGAGTATTCACCTTGTTGTTATGTCTTGAAACACCAAGCATAAAAAAGTGATTTTTCACAATCTAAGTTGCTGATGTTTTTCGTTTTAGGTATGGCGGTTCAGTACGGCGTTTGACACTGTGAATGAGTGGAAGTTTGCCAACATTTCCAGCATGGCCGACCACCTCAAGATGTGCACGTTTAACACCATAACACGGAGAGAAGAGGCTGTCCCACTTCCATGTATGAGTTTTACAAGAGAACTTACAAAAGAGGGACGCTCTCTACGTTCAGTGCTTAAACCGGTGATATAGACAGTAGTCAAAATGCAGAAGAGGATTTCATTTTAGAATACAAAATGCCTTATGTGTTTAGGTGAACCATGGGATTTGTTTGGCAATGGATTCATTAAAATAAGAGCCTAAACTTGATAAACCACTTTTGGAAGAGATGTTTTTATAATAAACAATATCTACCTGCTGTATTGATGATGGTTGTGCTGTCTTGCATTTTTGATACAATATATTGTTTTGTTTTTGTTTTTTTTACAAATGCGTTGCTTTTGTTGAACTATGTAGCTTCAAACCAGAAACACTGAATTTTTAAAATGGTGATGACCAAACGGAAAACCATTGTCTGCATTTTTGTAATGCAGGAATACACAATCCAAGGGTTTCTATCATGTAGATCAGTGGTTCTCAACTGGTTTTACTTTTGGACCCAAATTTACATTGTACATGAAATGGTGACGTAAGGGTCATGTTTTCTTTTTACCTTGCATAGTTTTCCTCCTTGAGAATCTGTATCAAGCAAACTGTCCATTTTGGCATTTCATATAATAGATGAGTTTGCTCCAAAATACATTAGCGTTTGATTAGATGTAGAGCAAAAGATACATGAATTGTTTTCTCTTTATAAGTCCATTTATTTTACTATCCTACCTATGCATGACTATATGGTTAGTTGCATTTGATTATTTGAATTTGTATTTAGCATTGTTTTGTTTTTTTTGCCTGCTGTCACAGAACAGACCAGCAAACCACCATTTGAGAACCACTGATGTAGACTTTAACCTCCTGATTTCTCTCTCATTCAAAAGTCTATAAATGACAGTCTTATACATTTTTCCCTTTTTATCAGTCTGTCAGAACGAACACATAACAGTTCATTCTCCGAGAAGCATTTATGGTATCCAGTTTTAGCTGTATACAACACATAGTACTTGATACTGTCACACACAACTCTTCCAGTGGTCATCCTCTGTGTCTTTTGAAAAGTAAACGGATTCATGTAAATGTACTTTATCTAAGTTGATGGCATGTGTTGTATTACAATCTTCCTGATGCTGAGTCACTGCACAAAACCTGCAGGACAGGTACAAGACTGCAGTTGTAGCCTGTTTTTTGGTGGCATACAGTGCATGTGCAGATGTACTTCTCTGTCTCTCAGGGGTTTAACATCAAGCATATGCCATTATAGACAGTTTATCTGTTAGAAACTTGATGTGAGCTTGTGATTCTCTTCCACTTTTATTTGTTGATGGTTTAAAAGTTAAGTTTACAGTATGTTTTCAGGTGTGCAGTTAGTGTTTCAGTTTGCTAACAGTCTGAAATGTTGCAATATTTTCAATCTTGTTTAAGGAATTAGCTGTGTGATATGTTTTACTGTATGTGCTTTCTGCAATTTTTGTTGTGTGATGACAATAGAGCAATATTCTGAAACGTTTGAGTTTCCGAATAATCTAATTCTAGCATCTTTGAGAACTGAAGTCATAAAACGCTTATTTTTAAAGACTTTATCAGAGTTAACATCAGTCGAAGTGCAACATGTTAATGTCTTTGAGGGTTTTTTTTGTTGTTGTTGTTGCCGAAGGAACAAAATGCATTCATTTATTGCATCAACAGTCTGGGATCTTTTTATATTGTTCTATTTAAATATATTTACTCTAAGTTTTCCAGACATATATATCATTGTATGAGGGAACTCAGGTATTTAAAGAAGAACTGTGGAAAGTTTAGGTCGGAATTTGTACTATTTTTTTCCTTTTTTTTTTTTTGGAAAGTAAGTGTACAGTTAATTTACCCTCCAAACCAACACTTTTTTTTGTAATACAGTTTTCATATTTGCGGTTTTATATGACCTCATAGTTCTCAAACCCCTTTTTCTACTGTAAATAATCAAAATGTTTGTCCATCTCTAGGTTAACCTAAACAGTTGTTTCACATTAGTAGTTGTATCATCATTTGCATTTTTTAAATAATATTTTAATTTAATAAAGTGTGAGAAATCCAGGTTGCCTGTGTGCCATTTTATCAGGCTCCAGATATGCAGCGAACCAAGTGTCAAAGATGTAAAATAAAGTTAAGCAAAGCTGGCAGAGAAATTAATTTGCCAGTGTGAAATCAATCATGTAATGGGTGGATGGTAGTTTTTTAAGCATTTAAATATTAAAAGTATACTAATAAGTAGTGGATCCACATTTATCACTTAAGTGCATGATGTGGCGCTGATTTTACAGATATTTTAAAATAGCGTCACTCTATTTTTATGTTTGTAAAGTGCTTTTCCACCAGACGGTGCTGCTGTATTCAGAATCAGAACATGCTAATCAAAAACCACAGGTCTTTTACACTGTACATTTCCTGAGAGAAATTTGTTAATGAAACAATGAAGTTTCTTTCTAAGGACAATATTTAATGTTCATTAAAGTTGGATCTGGCTTTTGATCCTCCCTCTCCTCTTCTTTTTTGAAAACTAAAATATGATCACCCTATCTCCGTATAATTTCGCATGTGGGCCGAAACATACACATAGACGTGAAAAACCATGATAAATGTCCTGAATGGATCCAGGGCTGAACTGTGGTCAGGTGGGCTCATCTGCTTCAGTAACCTTCATGGAAATGGACTTTCACAGCAGAGTTAAGGGTTTAGACAGACAAATAATACACCCAGAACTATCACCACATTTCTTAAGCTAAACAAAGAAGCATAGCTTTCTGATGCTATAATGTTCTTTAATAAATGATGCATGTCTTCGTAATAATCTTTACAGAGACAATGGATATATACTTAAACCTTAAGGAGGGGTGTTTTTAGCAACAAATCTATTGTCTGCTCTGCATTGTAATTAGTATTATGTAATACCGTAATTACCAATTACATAATGAATGAAGGGTTCCTTAAACCATTACCTCATTAAACAGGCATTAGAGAAAAGTTTCCATCATCTCCTAAAACAAACGAGAACATTTAATGTAATCTTTAGATGTGTGGGCGGCTTTCATAGCATCCTGGTTAGAGAAAATAGAAACTTTTCAGTTTGCAACATTGTGACTGGAAAAAAAAAAAAAAAAAACGGAAAGTAGCTGAGACAATAATCAGACAGGAGATTAAAAATAGCATCCTGTTCAAAACATCCTTAATTAATCATGCATTATTAATATTCAGTTGAGTTTGAGACTGATTATGAGTAATCTTTTAATTAAATGATGCCTAAACAAGAATTCATTATCAAAATTTGTCTCAAAATACAGCAGGAACTTCTGAGACAAAAATATATATTTATTACAATGCAGCTTTTCAAGTCAAATCCAAAGAAGTTTAATGGTGACACAGAAGCTTTTCACAACAGCAACAATATGAGTTAATATAATTGTAAGGACTTGCTCAGACACCAAAACACACAATGTCATATGTAAGATGCACACAATGTCATATGTAAGATGCGCACAGCAAACAAATGTATGAAACATATTTTGGAATAAAGATGGAGGAAACATCTACTACATGTCCAATATCAATGGAATTGGAAAAGAAACACTCCACTTGTGTGATTCCTTTTCAAATTGTTGCTTTTGCCCTATAGATGGACAACAGTGCAGTGCAACATGTAGATGAGTTTGCAGCGGTTTAAAATGAAAACTCCTTGATGAATTTGTTTCTTAGAAACACACAGCTTTTCCACTTCACAAGGCATTATATTGATGTACTGTAGACGTGTGGATTACTTGTGGAATATTGTGATGTTTTTATCAGCTGTTTGGACTCTCATTCTGACGGCACCCATTCACTGCAGAGCATCCACCAGTGAGCAAGTGATGCAATGCTACATTTCTCCATATCTGTTCCCGTTAAGAAACAAACTCATCTACATCTTGGATGGCCCGAGGGTGAGAACATTTTCAGCAAATTTTCATTTTTGGGGGAGGAACTTTTCCTTTAAAGCAGACTTTGCATTGCTCAGAACTGATTGTCATAGTGGGAGAATGTGTACACTCTTGACAGCAGTCTCTCTGGGAGGAAGTCGCGTGGGGATCTGTCTGTACGGTCATCCTCTAGCGAACAGCTCACGGATAAACAAACACATCTGCACTGCGGTCGACTCCAGCTCTTATCAGTTTGAGGAGCAGAAGACAGTGATGATGAAAGTCATCTCGGTGTGGGGTGTGAGATGCTCTTACCAGTGGCGGCTCGTGGGTTTTAAAATAGAGGAGGCACACTAATTGTATTGGTCTGGGATCCCTCTGAAATTAATTGTGAATTTTATTAACATTAAATCGTCCTCCTCCCATTTTCACCTTAAAATTATGCCTCCCCCGACGAGCCGCCACTGGCTCTTACATGGATGATGTAAGATGAAATCTTATGCAAAGAGCTCAAACTTCAGATCCCAGGCCTCCACTATCTCATCTGATTGAAGAGTCTCATGTGAAGTTGCCAGAAACATCCTCAGATCTAAAGGAAAGAGGATAGACTATGAAAGCTTGTCTCTGCCACAGGACTGAAACAAAATAAAAATGGCAGTTGTGACTTTTTTTCCCATGATTCTGAGTTTATATCTGGCGATTCTGACTTTTTTCTCAGAACTGCAAATTATAAACTCAGAATTCTGAAATATAACCTCAGAATTGTGAGAGAAAAAAAGTCACAATTGCAAAGAAGAAAAGTCCGGATTGTGAGATAAAAAGCCGCAATTGCTGTTATTATTATTTCACTTTTTTATCCATTGGTGGAACCAAAAAATAGAATTGCAAGATGTAAATTCAGAATTGTGAGAATTAAACTCGGTCCAAATTATGAAATAATGTGTCCATTTGATGCGCAATTCAGAATCTTGTCGGAAATAGTAGGTCATCTGGGAACTTTTTGCCTATTATTTTATGAATACTGTGAATTTGGGCGTACTACTTTCACATACTGTTTTTGGTCTTCTATATATTAGGAAAGCATGTGATTTTGGATAGAGCCATATAATAGTAGGCTATATGAAGTTGTTTTGCTAGCATTCGTAAGGCATCAGGCCACCAGAGGCGTCAGAAACACATCAGTGGCCCTCAGCGTGTATCATGTGACATGATGCAGGTACCTGTCCGCCTCCAGACTCTGAGAAGGTTCCAGCTCATTCATCATCATCATCATCATCATCATCTCAGTGTCAGATGAGCTCTGATGTGCACATGTAGCTGCTCTCTCATCAGTCTGAGTGTGGATGTCGTCTGCACTCCTGCAAAGATGAGCATGATGACAGATCATTTTGCATACTCTTTTACATAATATTGTCACTGCTTACATAATATTGCATTTTGCATAATAGATGATGTCTAATTAATTAGCAACGATCTCAAAGGCAAGCATCAATATTGTATTGCTTAAATTGGTTTAACCCATTCTTTTGTAGTTTTAGATTTTAAGAAAAAAAAATCATACTATATTTATTAAAAACCTCTGCTGAAAATGACTTGTATAGTGGTCAATCAGTGGCATGATGACAGACATTTCAAAGAAAAATTAAGAAAAAGCAAGCAATCAAATAATCACTTGAAATCTATCCATGCAATTAAGTTGTTAAATGCATAGCAGGTTTATAGTAAACTAAAATTGTTGCCATAAAAACTTTAGTTAATTGAAATAAAATAAACCTTAACTGAAATAAAAAATATATATATATATAAAAAAACGTAAATGTACTTTAAACAAATTAAAATTTTTCTCATTTTTATAATTTGTAATAAAAAATAAAAAAAAATTTATAAACACTATAGACAAATTTAAAAGGAAAAAAAATTACTGAAACTTTAACCAAACAAAATGAAAACAGAAAATATAAAAATAAAAACTGAATCAAAATATGAATAAAAACTCTAATGGTGTCTCAGTTATAATAAGTAACATTGTCGCAAAGATCTACGGCAATGCTTATTCAAATTGTAATAATTATTTTTAGGATCGCTATGATTAAACATGAGCATACTGCCGTTATGTGCCTGTACTGAATTAGTCCAGATGCATGAAACAGATTTATTTGTGCTGCTCACGGTGAGGTCGAATATTAAATGCTCACTCATCAGTCTGTTAGTTCAGGTGTCACAGTGACTGACAGAATGACAAACTGCTGTGCACATGAACCAAACGATCTGGTGCAACTCACATTTTTCCTGTTGACAGGAGAGATTCTGCTACAGGTAGGATGGCACTGGATTCTCTGTTGTTCTGTGTCGACCTGAAAATGAAAAGTGAAAGTTCAATGTGATGCAGGTATCGAACTGTAAAATGTCTGAAGCCTTTTCTTCTTTTCCCTGCAGCTGTCAAAGTGAAATATTCACTTCAGCAAAACAGCTTGTTAGGGGGACAGGCAAAACAATCGACCTTAAAACAAAGAGATGCCTTATTGTAAAAATCCTGCTCATTAGTGGATGCCTTTTCAGTGTTGCCAATTAAGAAAACCTTTCCTGTTGTATGAATACACTGTTTCAGTATCTAAAGTGGACATTTAAGTCACACTTAAAATGTTATTACACTAGTTAAAATATCAAACCAAGTGACGTTTATTTAAAAGAAAGTTGGTATAAGCACAACTTTTCAAACTTAAACTGACATTATGCATCCACTAAAAAATCATTGCAACAAAAATGAGTAGTTCTGAGAAAAGCTTTTAAGCATTTCAGAAATATTAGTGCAGCATTTGAGTAAAGCTGCTAATTGGCTTGATATAATACAACAACATTCATACATTTGAATTGTGGCCACTGCATATTAAGAGCGAATACACAGCTTGAATTCCCTGAGGTCATGTAATAGTTTTGAAGTGGATGAAGGGTGGTGGTGGAGGAGAAGAGATTCGAACTAAATCAGAGAACGAGAGGAGAGACTGCAGATACTCACTCATACTCCTCTGGACACATGCTTACAAATGCAACGGGGCTGCAAAACATACAGACAGCAGAGTGAGAAAATCTCATAGCTGTCAACAAACCTGATGAGAGCTGATCACACGTGGGCATTACTTGGCCTTGTGAACTTTTCACATTTACACTACTTCAATTTGTCTACTAAAAAGGTACAAAAGTGTATATGCATCACAAGAAATCAAATCAAAAAATCTTTTCCCCTAAACCATTAAGAATATTTATCATTTGTAACACAAATCACCAAATCACTATTCATTATGTGGTACAATTATTTTAAACATTTTTAGACAATTATTACATAAATAATAATAGCATTAAAAAATACGTATTGCTTTATTCAGCGATATACAAGCGATATTTCCATTCACATCATCATGTCTCATATTTCATCTCAAGTTCTTCAGTGTCACTGTTTTCTTGTTGATAAACAAATACACTAATCTTTGAAGAATTTCAGTACTGCCAAAATTATTGATTGTGGTGGAAATTAGACTATAACTGAGGGAAATTCAGAATATGTGTGAAATAATAAAATAAAATAAAATAAATAAATAAATAAATAAATAAATAAAATAAATTAATAAATAAATAAATTAATTAATTAATTAATTAATTAATTAGTTAATTAATTAATTAAATTAAATTAAATTAAATTAAATTAAATTAAATTATTGATTGTGGTAGAAATGACACCATAACTGACGGATAGTCGTAATTTGTGTGAAGTAAAAAAAATAGATATATTGATTGTGGTGGAAATGACACCGTAAGTGAGGGGTAGTCGTAATTTTAAAGAAAAGAAAGGAAAAGAAAAGATATAAAATAAATAATATAAAATAAAATAAACTTAAATTAAATTAAAAATTGCTGATTGCAATGGAAATGACACCATAACTGAGGGATAGCTGTAATTTGGGAAAAATCTCATTAAAAAAATCATCCAAGAAATATAAATTTATGATTATTGCACTGTTTAGATCATTGTTAAAATATATATTTTCTAAATATATATATAATGGATTTTCATAGTTTAACATTAAACAGCTGGGTCTGGGACAATAAAGAATATTGCAAAACATGAAAATAATCTAAAAAGTAGCAAAAATAAATTAAAGCAAAAAAGTTTTAATTAGCATGTTTAATTTGAGGTTTAAAAGGGCAAAAGCAACTGTAGTTGACAAAACACCCATATGCAGTCACTCATACAATGAATCAGGACAAGTAATAATGACACTGACTCGACACAAAACTGCTATTGTCTGTGCTCTGACATTGCAACAGCCAGTGAGAACAGCTGGTTTATTTCAATATTAAAGACTGCCGTGAACATGATAAATGTCCCGTCTCTTCATTTCCCCCACAATCTCACTAAACAGACACCTGACTGCTTTTGTAATTAAATTCACATCCACGAGAGAGAAGCAGTATTTGCGTGTTGATGTTAAAGCGGAAGCTTTGGAATTACATGAATGAACGGCCTCCAGCATTCGAATGACACATGAATAGACCTTTAGTAATTAATGAACTTCTCAGCAAAACAGAAGCTGAGAAACATGTTTCCCATGAGGCCGAGCGATGACAGGAAGAAGTCGAGTTACCAGGACATAAATATATGAAGTATAATACTGTTTATACTTGCACTTTTTAAACAAGAATTATAGGCCGATAAAAATCTGGAGATCTCAAAAAGATCTTGAATATTTGCACTAGGAAAACTCACGTCTCTGAATGCTCTTCCTCCAGGATGGTCTGCACGGGCAGGTAGCCGAGCCGAGGGTGTTTGATGAAGTACTTCTTTGAGCGGAACTTGTTTTTCAGCACCTTGGTGAAGTCACGCACATCTTCTCCTGAGGTGGTCTGTAACAGAGAGGCTATAGGGAAATGTTCTGTTGTGCATGAAGAATTAGAGTGGCAGGGACTGGAGTGTTTAGGCTTAGAAAAATCAGAAAAAAAAATCCTAACAAAATAAAATATTAATGCACCTACATACACACACACAATAAAGTAGATATACAGTGGGTACGGAAAGTATTCAGACCCCCTTAAATTTTTCACTCTTTGTTATATTGCAGCCATTTGCTAAAATCATTTAAGTTAATTTTTTTTCCTCATTAATGTACACACAGCACCCCATATTGACAGAAAAACAAGACTTATATTCTAAAATTTAATTAAACATAAAATATATAGTTATTAAATTTGATTATAATATTATGAAATAATAATCAAAATATTTTTAAAAATTAATTTAAAAAATATAAAAGATTTTCCAAATGATTTAGGGTGGTGTAACACCTGCACTATTCCCTCCCTAGTTTTTGAAGCATTTGCCACAATGAACCATCTGAAAACACAACCAAACTCAAGCGTCTTCCAGATGCTCACAGGGGTGCAGTACTCCACCATTGGATAGCTGAGATGATAGTCCTTGGAAATCCTTCCCGAGAAAAAACATGTCTGACACACGTTGTAGTTGAAGTGTTTCAGACTTCGATACCTACAGGATTAACAGATGTTTAACACTACAACAGCTACGAACTTTGCAACACTGACACTGTCATTGAACTAAACTGAATCAACACTGAACTAAAATGAGTTGAACAATAACACTATTGTCTTCTGAAGTGCTGCTTATAGCTTACTTTGAATTTGTTTCATAATTTAGGAATTTTGCAATATTAATGCTTTTATTTTCCTGTGTGAAGCTTCTCTAAAACAATCTGTATTGTATAAAGCGCTATATAATTAAATGTGACTTGACTTTTATGACACTGTCCACACAAATAAGATACACATTGGTGAACCATTACTTAATTTTTAAAAACAAATGCACAAATATCATGTTCTCTGGACTGAGAACTGTTAGATAAGATATGCATGACTTCTCAATTTATGGGAAAAATTGCAAACTTGTTGTCCATTCTGGCATGTACATGTTTATTTATTTTAATAATATATTTTGTTATAGAATTGTATATTTCAACACTGTTTATATATTTAATTTTAATGTTTATTGTAAAAAAATAATTAAATCACAGATTTCAGGGTTTTAAAATTATGTTTAGACACATTCCACTATGTATAATAATAATAATAATAATAATAAAAGTAAATGTGTTTTTATTATTGTTTTTATTAATAATGTATTTAATAATAATAATAATAATAATAATAATAATAATAAAGACATTATTAATAAAAACAATAATAAAAACACTTTTACTTTTACTTTTATTATTTTTTTTTTATTATTATGATACACATAGTGGAATGTGTCTAAACAATTTTAAAACCCTGAAATTTGTGATTTAATTATTTTTTAACAATGAACATTATAATTAAATATATAAACAGTGTTGAAATATAAAATTCTATAACAAAATATACTATTAAAATAAATCAAATAATACAATTAATAACAATAATAACAATAATAACTATAATAATAATAAAGTTATCATTGTTATTTATTATTTTACTGTATAATTTAATAATAATAATAATAATAATAGCTATTAATAGCTAAAATGCTATTTTGAGGTTGACAAACAACATTGTCTGAAGATTATGCACCTCCTTTGCTGAAGAAAATGACATTTTAAGAGTTTCTGTCTACTTCACTTTGTTTACCTGAAGCCCACCATGGGACACTCCTTACAGATGTTGCATTTGGCCTGATGTTTGGCGGTTTCTGCAGCGGCGACTCTGTGAAGGACAGGCAACCAGACCATCGACTGCGGCTCCAAATGCATCCAGTCCACAAACTGCTGTACCTCAATGACATCAACACGGCCCACCTGAACCCCCAGACGACAGACAAACCTTTCATTCATAACCGCAATGCACTGCATGACACACTATAATGGAGCTGTCTGAGTCTAAAAGCACTCAGATGGTCTATTTATCATTTTAGAAGCGTATTCAACTACATCCCAAAAACTATAATATCCCATCACAACCTTATTAGCCCGAGGGCAAGGGATCCATTAGCAATTTTGAAGTGAAGCAAATGGGGCCAATTGTGATCATTTGTGTCTCCCCCGTGACATTAAAACTGCTACTACTGTTATGCATCAATTACAGCGGGCCAGTTAAGGCAGGACTATCAAGAGTCTTTCATTACATGCAACATTAAATGAAAAGAGCTCCACTGTGACCCAAGTAAAGCAGTGAAGTATTGGAGGCTCCGTCCAGGGCGGATTTACAAATACTCCATTATACCAGCACATGTGGTTCACATCATAAAGCACTCCATCATGTGATATTATGGGTACGCGTGCGCACAAATCAAGTGGATTTCATTTAAATATCTCTCGGTAGCTTGTGCGTCAGGTGTCGAACCGAGCGCTAAGCGTCTGAAAGTGGTGATGTAAATCCCCTGGCAGGCCTGCCACTCTTATAACTGAGCTTATCATTTATTTATATGTCAGAACTCAGTGATGTGTAATGATGAGCCCCTATCCCCAAACAAACAAGTCTTCAGCAGCTCCCTATAGGAATACATAATGTCTCACAAACCTGAATTATGTATCATAGAAACCTGTTCATTAATTTGCATGTCAGAATTTTTGTTAAACCTTGTAATTTTTTAATGCATGCATGTGTTTTTTCAATTCCTCAGTAAATAAAGTGGAGATTTTGTTCTGGTCATATAATGAGGTCCAATGGGGAAAAAAATAAAAAATCTTGGACATCAACCAGATGAACTATTTATTGCGCAGATGTTTCTTGGCCTTGAAAGAATCTGATGAGAAATGTTTGAGTTCATACTGAGATCTCTGATTTTACAAGTGCACAGTTTTGGCAAATCTGAGTTTAAAGTCGGTTTAAAATGTTGATATTTCAAATGTGAGATTGATAGACTTGTTCTCAGCAAGCTTGTTAAATCAATCTAAAACTATTAAAACATTTTGCTAATTGAAATAATGCTAAAATAAAATAAAATACAAATATTAGACAACAAAAATAAGTTAATGAAATGAGTTTAGGTTGAAGCACTAAAATAACTAACTGGAAATAAATAAAAAATAAAACAGAACTAAATCGTAATGTTTAAAAACGAACTAAAAACTATTAAAAATGACAAAAGCACATAACAAAATCACTAAAAACTAAACTAAAATGAAAATATAAAGCTAATTCAAAAAGAACCCATAATAGTCTATAAAAATATAAAAATAACTAAAATAACATTGGTTCTCATAAGAAAAATCTGACTAATTTGTCTCCATTTGACCTCAGTTTGATCTCAATGCTTTGGCAATTTACTGAAATAAGTTTAGGTTGAAGCACTAAAATACCTAGCTACAATTAAATAAAACATAAATTGAAAAAACTAAAACTGAAACTGAAGTAAATTAAACGTCAATAGTAATTTAAAAAAAACTAATAAATATGGCAACAGGACATAAAATGACTAAAAATTAAGCTAAAATTAAAATGATAACTGATCATATAAAAATAAAAGCTAATTCAAAATATTAATAAAACTATGTAAATAATACTAAAATCAAGAGAAAAATCTGACTCTTAAGTCTCCATTTGACCTCGATTTAATCTCAATGCCAAGGCAACTTACTGAAATATATTAAAGTTGGAGCACTTAAAAGACTAGGTAGAATTAAATAAAACATAAACCAAAACTAAAATTAACAAAACAAAAGAACATAAAATGACTAAAAATTCAACTAAAATTAAAATGATAACTGAAAATATAAAAACAAAAGCTAATTCAAAATATTAATAAAACTATAACAGTATATAAATAATGCTGAAATAACACTGTTAGGATGTTAGGATACTCATAGGTCTTCATTTGATCTGATTAAAAAAGTTATGAAGGGAGATATCATCTCGTTTTTTAGCCTACAGTAGTGTTAACTCACATATTGAAAGCAGCTACGGACACTGGGCTCCATGTTACTCCCTCCAAATGCGGCGGCCTCCCCGAGCTGGTGTGGGATTTGGATGCTGTTGTGTAGCAGCAACGCCAGCTGCCTCTGGTTACAGACACCTGCAGCGTCGGCCGCCTGAGCGAACAGATCTGTGAAGGACAGCAGGAGCGAAACTCAAAGAACATCACAGGATGAGACCAGGAGGGAGATTTTAGACTTAAGATCCAATTTATAAATGTCCTTGTAGGAGCCACAGCAAGGACAGTGTTGCATTCAATTCCCAGTAGGTCTGAGACAGTGAAATCAAAGTTTGCAGTGAAATTGTGCACAGACATTAAAGCGAAGGAAAGAAGCCAGGGTTTCACAACATAATTTAATTCATTTATAAATTGAGAGCAGGATAGAATATTTTATGCCACATATATTCAGTATCAAAGCACTTGCATTTGTACTTATCCTTTAGAGGTCCTTTTGAAAGAGAAAATTTAAGCATGACTTAGTAGGAATAGTTTACCCAAAAATGAAAATTTGCTGAAAATGTATTCACCCTCAGCCCACCCAAGATGTAAATGAGTTTGTTTCTTCATTTGGAGTAATTTAGCATTCCATCACTTGCTCACCAATGGACCCTCTGCAGTGAATGGGTGCCGTCAGAATGAGAGTCCAAACAGCTGATAAAAACATCACAATAATCCACAAGTAATGTAAGGTATCCACAAACTATGTGTTTGTAATAAACAAATCCATCATTAAGACCTTTATAACTTCAAAGAAGTTATATATGTGACCCTGGAACACAAAACTAGTCTTAAATCGCTTGGGTATATTTTTAACAATAGCCAAAAAAACTTGTTGATTTTTCTTTTATGCCAAAATTCATTAGGATATTACGTAAAGATCATTTTCCATGAAGATATTTTGTAAATTTCCCTACATCAATAGAAAATTTACCCTTATGACTGGTTTTGCGGTCCAGGGTCACATATGAGTCCTTTATCCATAATATTGCTTTCTCCATTAAAAAAAAATAATCTCGTCTGATTCAGGAGAGAAATATGCATAGATCAATGGTGGATTTGTTTCTTACAAACATGCAGCTGTTGGCTTCACAAGATGTTAACTGATGGACTGGAGTGGTGTGGATTATTGTGATGTTTTTATCAGCTGTTTGGACTCTCATTCTGACGGCACCCATTCACTGCAGTGCATCCATTGGTGAGCAAGTGATGTAATGTTACATTTCTCCAAATCTGTTCCGAAAATCAAACTCATCTACATCTAGGATGGCCCGAGGGTGAGTACATTTTCAGAAAATTTTCATTTTTGAGTGAACTATTCCTTTAAGTGTCTAAACATGTTTAAGGGCCACTGTATTACAGACAAGACCCATACAGACCTGTCATAGACTTTTAGCAGCCAGTTGAGACACAGATCCACACACAAAGGCACATTAACCAGATCCGGATGCACCTGCTGAAGTTCACGGTAGACTGTGCAGAGACAGTTTATGATGCCTGGAATCTCCAGTAGCTGCCCATTATGCGTGAGTTTGTGTTGATCAAAGACACTCTGGGCGATGCTGAGCTCCAAAAGGTCCACTGAAACAGACAGACAAATTTCATCTCCACTCATTTCTGCCTCCACAATGAATTCCATTCAGCGCATTTTAATGAAAGTCACCAGTGCGTAACTCATCCGTTGGTGTGTAATGAAAATGCCGTACTGAAAAGGCAACAAAAAATTATATTTCTTATCAGCATGCATCAGATTTGCAACCAATTATACGTTTCAACAACTACCCTTTCTCAACATTACCCACATCCGAAGATATGAAGCAAAAAACAGCTGCTGTCTGTTACTAAAAACCCCATCAGGCTAACCTGACTGAAGGCTATTTCTGCACAGCTTGTACTGTACTAATGTTGTCAGCGGGTGGCTTTCCGGCTCTAATGCTCTCAAAACTCCTACTGCAGATCAAAGGCTCATAGTTAGTGTACCAGAAACGTCTTGACAAAATTAGCAGATAGAGCTCAAGATTGCTTGGTTAAAATTGTCTTTGTCTTCTACAGTAATCTGTTTACTTCCAAAAGTCATTTCGAGTGAGAAGTGATGAGCGGTTTTTCACATTGACAGTACTTTGCAATGCAATGATAAATGTTTAGTACAAATCCCCAACAGAAGAACCAATGAACTTTTTTTTAGGAAAGTAAGAAGTATAAGACTTAAATGATAAGTTATCACTCACAGCAAAGGGCTTTCTGTAGCCGGCGGCTCTTCATCGCTGTGCGGTAAGCGGAGAAACGCACATGGCTCAGATCAGCTGCATATTGAGGGTAAACCATAAAGGCTGGATGTGAATATTATTAATAAGAAAAGTCATAGTTCTCAAATTCAAATAATGAGCAAAATGTAAGAAAGCATGCATACTGCACATTTTGAATGTTTAGTGAAATACACAGAGAGAAAGACAGAACACTTGATTGACCGGAACAAGAACAAACCCATTGTTTGAAATAACTGTGTCATCTTTGGATGATCCCACGAGGTGGTCTGCTGCTCATGACTGAAAGACAATTAATAATAACTAACATCAATTCACCTTAAAGGAATGTGCCATGGAAAATGTATTTTGGTTTCTGTCAAGCGGAAGAATCAAACTGCCAGAAAGATTTGGACAGTTTCTCAACACTTATTTAAAGGAGCCTTTTTTTTTTAATAAGAAATCAATCCTTTTATTCTGTAAGGATGCATTAAATTGATCAAAAGTGACATTAAAGACATTTATTATGTTGCAAAAAGATTTCTATGTCAAATTATGTTGTTTTGAACTTTCTATTCATCAAAGAACGAAAAAAATATTAAGCGGCACAACTGTTCTCATCATTTGTAATAATAATAATCAGCATACTAGAATGATTTCTGAAGGAAATTATTGTAATACATTTTTAGTAAGGGTGACTGCAACTCGATTCAAATTTGATGAATAGATTCATTCTGATGCAAAACTGAGCACATGGGAAATCACACGAAGAGCATGAGGTGTCACAGCAGAGATGAGAATGTATGAAACAAAACTCACTTGATATAATAAGGAACGCCGTTATGAAAAACAGCTCTTTGCCAAGGGAACTGAACGGAAACTGGTTGGGAGACAGAAGGTTTCAAAGATAAAGTCATGACATTTGAATAGCTTTCACCCAATACAGTTTTTATTGTATAGTGGAAACAAATGAAAAAGTATTTGTGACAAATCAGAGTTTCCCCACTTTTTGACCAGTGATTTTTCAGAACTTTTTCAGATGTTTCCAGCTGACTGAATACATATTTTTTATGGGAAATTGCACTCCAAAAGAGCAATTTCTAGCCAATGAAACACTTCAGAGTTGAGTATAACTAAACAAATGTACATTACCGTTCAAAGGCTTTTTTATTGTTTTTGAAAGAAATTTCTTATGTTCATTTATTTGATCAAAAATACAGTAGAAATGGTTGTTTTGGAAAATATTATTACAATTTAAAGTATATTTTAAAGTGTAATATATTCCTGTGATCAAAGCTGAATTTTCAGCATCATTACTCCAGGTTTCAGTGTCACATGATCCTTCAGAAATCATTCTAATATGCTGACTTGCTGCTCAAGAAACATTTCTTTTTATTATCAAAGCTGAAAACAGTTGTGCTGCTTAATATTTTTGTGGAAAACATGATTTTTTTTTCTTCGATGAATAGAAAATAACAGCATATATTTGAAATTGAAATCTTTTGAAACATTAAAAATGTCTTACTGTCACTTTTGATCAATGTTTTTGCATCCTTGCTGAATAAAAGTACTAAAAGAAATATCTAACCGACCCCAAACATTTGAACGGCAGTGTATATTCACTACAGAAATTACTTTTAATTAATTCACACAAACATGTTCCAGGCCTAAAAATCACCATTTTAGAATTAAAAAGATTTTCTATGACTATGGGAATACTGACGAATGCATAAAAAAACGACTTACCAGACAAGAAGTCATGGGAGAAATGTCTCTTATCCGTTTGAGAGCATTGCAACTGCTGGTGCTGATTACCCACAATCCCCTGATAAGATTTTGAAAAAGAAAAATATTCTCAAACAAGCAAGATTGAAAGATTATGACTACACCAGATGGCAAGATAAAAAATGATGCCTAACATCTTACTGTGCTATCAGACCATAATGCGAAACATACCCCTCCAATGGAGACATAATGGTAGCTCAGATCAGAGGGAAATTACAGTGCTTTAAAGGCTTTTTCATCCTATGAGACGACTAAGCAGGGGGCAGTCTGGAGAAAAATAAAGACATTGTTCTGAGAATATGAGAAAGTAGTCGCTGGTACTTCACTTCAGAAATGACCAGATGCTCATTATCCAACACGCCTGACTCCAAGAGTCTGTGGAGACACATCTCTGCCAAAATATAATGAGTGCCCTTTTCATCTTGTGTGACAGACAATGCCACATCCCAAAAGCACAAATGGTGCAAGTCTTTCAGTTACATTAATACAACTATTACATGAAAACCCAAGATGCTCACTTGGGGTGAAAAATTGTGTTGTTCGAGCTCCAAAAATGAGTTAGCAACAACCTGTCTGTGTTGGTGAAACAAGGCCCTAGAGTGTCATTGGGCAGGTAGCAGCTTAATTATCTATGTTCTCCAGCTGCCCAGATCAATACGTAGGGTCAATATTTCTGCCCACAGGATCCTCAAAACAACATGACAGTCACACACTCATCAAGCTACGGGATAAAGGAGCAATCAAAAACAAACTGGACTCCGTGTGGTTTCAGTGATCCTAATGCATGATTAAAAATAATCGACTCTTCAAGGTCAATGCTGGGGTTTGAATGCATCTTACGAGCATTTCAGAGTGCGATGCCAGCCGGCTCAAATGATCTGTTGCCCATGTGGCACAAATTGGCATCTTTATAGCTATTATGTGGGCTAGTAAGAAATATTCTAAACCTGAAGTGTAAAATAATCTAAAATTTTAGCAAATGACAGAATTAAAGCAATAGTTTACCCAAAAATAAAAATCTGCTGAAAATGTACTCACCCTCAGGCCATCCAAGATGTAGATGAGTTTGTTTCTTCATTTGGAGTAATTCAGCATTACATCACTTGCTCATTAAATGGATCCTCAGCAGTGAATGGGTGCCGTCAGAATGAGAGTCCAAACAGCTGATAAAAACATCACAATAATCCACAAGTAATCCACACCACTCCAGTCCATCAGTTAATGTGTTATAAAGTGGAAAGCTGTGTGTAAGAGTGTAAGAAACATATCCAACATTAAGGCATTTTAACTTTAAACCTTAAAGGGGTCATATGATGCTTTTTTAAAGATCATTATTTTGTGTATTTGGTGTAACAGAATATGTTGACATGCTTTAATGTTCAAAAAACACATTATTTTTCAAATACTGTACATTATTGTAGGTCCTCTATGCCCCGCCTCTCTCAAACGCTTCGTTTTCTACAAAGCCCCCTCCTT